GCCTCCCGAGGAGCCAGGATTACAGGCACCTGCCACCGTGCCTGGCTAATTTTTGTATTTTTAGTAGAGATGGGGTTTTACCATCTTTTTCAGGCTGGTCTTGAACTCCTGACCTCATGATCCACTCGCCTCAGCCTCCCAAAGTGCTGGGATTACAGGCCCAGCCAACATCATTCATATTTGCGAAAATCCCAGACTGTAAAGTTTCTAGAGGCACAACTTTTCATCTCTGTATTTCCAGTTCTGGTTCAACCTTTTTTTTAAATCACAGATTCTCAGAAGGCAGAGGCAGCAGTAGGAGATTGCTTTTTGAATCTTCTCAAATCCTCACCTAAAAATAGAACTACTAAACAGCAAAACCATAAAACTCACGGACATCTGTAACAGAATGAGGTGACAAGAACTGACAAGGATGTGGACTGAACTGGAACTCTCCTGCCTGGCTGGAGGGATGTAAAATTTAAAGTTCACACTTGGAGTTTCAGTTTCTTAAAAAGCACACACCTGCTAGCTCACACCTGTAATCCCAGCACTTTGAAGAGGCCAAGGTGGGCAGATCACGAGGTCAGGAGATTGAGACCATCCTGGCTAACACGGTGAAACCCCGTCTCTACTAAAAATACAAAAAATTAGATGGGCATGGTGGCGGCGCCTGTAGTCCCAGCTACTCGGGAGGCTGAGGCAGGAGAATGGCATGAACCTGGGAGGTGGAGCTTACAGTGAGCTGAGATGGCCCCACTGGACTCCAGCCTGGGCAACAGAGTGAGACTCTGTCTCAAAAGAAAAAAAAGCACACACCTGCCATATGACCCAGGCATTCCTTGTTCCAAGGCATTTACCCAAGAGAAACAGACAACAAAGACAAGGATATAAATGTTCACGGCAGCTTTGCTTTATTTTTACTTAGAAACTGGAAACAATTGAAATATTGGTCAACAAGTAAATAAATAAACTGCGGTATATCCATGCAATATAAAATGTGGATTATTGATATACACAAAAAGGGTGAATGCCAAAATAATTATGGTGAGTAAAAGAAGCACCTCCCCACATGGTACTTGCTCTGTGATTCCACTCATATAAAATTCTAGAATATATAAACTAACCTTTAGTGAGAAAGAGCAGACCAGTGGTTGCCTAAGCATGGGGGACACCAGGGACGGTTTAGAAAGTGGTGTGAAAATGCTGTGGGCGGTGATGGACATGTTCTGGTGATAGCTTCACAGGCAAATGCATCAGTCACTTTACATATGTGCAATTCATTCTGTCAGTTACACCTCAATAGAGCTGTTTTAAAAAGCAAGGTGGGGCTGGGTTTGGTGGCTCATACTTGTAATCCCAGCACTTTGGGAGGCTAAGGAAGGAGGATCGCTTAAGGCCAGGAGTTTAAGACCAGCCTGGGCAACAGAGTGAGACACTGTTTCTATTTTAAATAACAAAACAAAATAAAAGTGGTACAATAACAACTTTTAAAACTCAAACAAACAAAAAAAGAGATAAAAGAGATTCAAGAGACAGTGGCAAACACTGGAAACAGGCAACTTAGATTTCAACATACAGATAACAGGAAACCCCAAAGAAAAAAGCCAAAGCAAGAAAAATGTAACACTAAACTCCAGTTCAAGCAAATCTTAAAATAACAGATGTGAAGTACACATAGAAAGAGCACACCATACACCTGCAAATATGGACCAGGACAATCAATACCAACACATGCCACGTTCAAATCAAACTGCCAGCTTGACAGAAAAAGGAAAAAAATCCTCTGGGCATCTAAGTAAAAACAGCATATGACTGTCAGGGGAAGAAAATAAGATTCACCAGGCTTTTCATGCATCACTTTATGCTGGAAGATAACAGAATAAAACAAGATACTCAAAGAAAATCTGAGGCAAGAATTTTGTATCCGGCAAAACTGAATTCAACATCAGAAACTCAAGGAACACTGTCCCCAAGATGACACTGACTATAGACCGGTTATGAGAACTGAAAACACAGGAATGAGTCAATGGCAGTAAAAGAGAGTGACTTTTCTGACAATGTGCTGTTTTCATCATCACAATTAATGCTACGGTACTATATTTGTTTTAAATGCAAAATGTTAAAGAGGAATAGAACAAGAGAGTGATTACGGGATATTCCATGCCATCGTCCTGTGTCTTGAGAAGCAGGATTCTGAGTGCAGGAGGCACAGATATCATATAGAAGAGGCTACGTAAAGGCCCCAGAACCCTGAATTTGTATTGGGAATATCAATATAGGCTCAGAAAATATTTTTTCCTTTAAATGTGTGTGCAATGTTTGTATTTTTTTAAAGCTCTGTCCAAAAAGTCTAGAAACAATGACCAACCCGATAGCAATGAGCATCCTCAACTGTGGATCTGAAATACCATCTCTACCAGAGACTCTGGGAAAAATAATGGATTCCAAGTGTTAAATGGAATTAAGCTTGGCCTAAAACTGCCTCTGCACATAGTGACTTATAACCTCACTTAATGTATACACGAACTGGGACCTGACTTAAGAGTACACTTCTGTACAAGCAGCCGAGTCTCACCAATCACAGGCTGATGGCTGCCAAAACATGCCTTTGTGAGGCGGAGGCTGACCTGCAGTCAGTCTGGCCAGGTACGTGTGTCTTTCCCTTCCTCTGGCTATAAATACAGCCTGCACACAATGCACAGGCGAGCGTTCTGAACCACTTTTGGTCCTGAGTGCTACCCGGCTGAAGAAATTATTTTCTGCTCAATTAAACTGCTAACTTGTCTAAGGTTTTTCTTTTAAGACAGGTTTGGAGCAGAAGCTGTATAAAATGGGCCTAGAGCATCTTGACATGCCAGGCTGCACGGAGCTATGACTAACTGTGCATGTGGTCTGTGCACACATGTATGTGCACGTATGCACGCTTACCAAAAGAAATCAAGAGCCAAGCTGAAGAGGCTCCCTCTCACTGACCAAATAAGCTTGTCTGAGTTAAATAAAGATAAAAATCACAATGGATTGAAATCCACCAAATATGCTTAACTCCACAAATTCTATTTTTTTTTTTTTTTTTTTTTTTAAGACAAGGACTTTGTCACCCAGGCTGGAGTGCGGTGGCATGGTCACAGCTTACTGCATCCTCGACCTCCTGGGCTCAAGCGATCCTCCCATCTCAAGCGATCCTCCCATCTCAGCCTCCAGAATAGCTGGGACAACAGGCAGACACTACCACACCCATCTGATTTTATTTTAATTTTCTGTAGAAACAGGTTATTGCTATGTTGCCCAGGCTAGTCTCAAACTCCTGGGCTCACGTGATCCTCCCGCCTCAGCCTCCCAAAGTGCTGGGATTACAGGCATAAGCCACCATGCCCTGCCCATGAATTCTTGTATATAAGTAAAAATCCTTCACTGCTCACCTTCCTTGACAGACAACTAGTGCATTATCTTAAAAACTTAGTGTACAAGAGCAAAGAATCAAGCATTTATCCTGCCCTTCCTATATGAACTGTACCACTGCGTAACCAAACAAGCATAAAAAAGAAAACACTTTCTTAGAAAACCATTCCAGCTAATAAAGGCAAGCAAAATGACAGAATAAGAATACCACCATTTTACAACCCCAAATAATTAACAGATCTTGGCACTGAGCATCAGCTGCTGTCAACATGGTGCTTTCCTGAGCAAAGCACCTAACCGCCTATTCTTCTGCCAAAGGGATCAAATCTGAGGCTCATCAAGCCTCTGGACCCAGCTGCCAATGTGCAGGAAAGATAGAGGGCCATGCTGAACTGCACCATGACCACGCGGTCAGTAAAATCTACCCTGTGGGAAGCCATGGGACAAACAGCCCAGGCTCTTCAACAGATAAATGGCAGGGAAAACAGCGAGACAGACGGGACTGCAAATGGATACTGAATTAGTTAAAAAAAACAAACAAAAAAAAGCAGACAAGACTAAACTGCCATCAAGAAACCAAGAAAGTCATTTCTGTAAAAGTTGGAATTACTTCTGGGGGCAAGGAGCGGGAGAACAAGGGGGCTATGGCTGGAGGGGCACTTGGAGAGCCTTCTGGGGTATCTGGCAAAGTACTATTTCTTCCCTGGGTGGTGGACACAAAGGTATTCACCTTACAATTGTAATCATTCATAAGCTATACATTTGTTTTGTGTTACTTCCTGTATGTTTTTATGATAAAAGTGTTTAAAACTAAATAAATAATCATGTCAAACTTTTATTACTATTTTTTTTTGAGACAGAGTCTTACTCTGTCACCCAGGTTGGAGTGCAGTGGCGCAATCTCGGCTCACTGCAACCTCCGCCTCCTTGGTTCAAGTAATTCTTGTGCCTCAGTCTCCCAAGCAGCTGGGACTACAGACCCATGCCACCATACCTGGATACTTTTTGTATTTTTAGTAGAGACAGGGTTTCGTCATGTTGGCCAAGCTGGTCTCAAACTCCTGACCTCAAGTGATCTGCCCACCTTGGCCTCTCAAAGTGCTGAGATTACAGAAGTCAGCCACCTTGCCAAACCAGTGTTTTTTTTTTTAATTTGCACAGTTTTAAACAAAAGAGCCAAATAGATATTTGAAAGATTTATTTATGCATTTTAGTCTTTACAAGTCATAGCTGTTTCCAGAGAATGGCCTAGCAGACAGGGTCGCCTGCAGGCAGGCTTTGCCCTATACTAAGTGCCCGGCAAGCAGGCACATGGGGCTTGAGACCCAGCCTACCCCCGGCCCACTGAGCTGCGCGCCCAGGCCCTGGGCAGCATGTTTCTCTAAGGTACCCATGGGCACAAGTCACCTATACAAGCAGGAGACTCAGTCCTGTCGACTGGATGGTTAAATGGAAGCTTCCAGAACACTTCTAGATTTCTGAGTTGCATCTTTTAACCAATGGTTCTTTGATTTATCAAAATATAAGCCACAGAATTTTAGGCCATTTGCCTTGCTTGCCTGCAATAAAACAAGCAAGAACAGTATCGAACCCAGTAAATATAATGCAGAAATCTCACATAATTCTCCAATCTCAAAGATGTTCAATTTATTATATACTTAACCGTTTTTTATGAAAACGTGTCACAGAAGGCCACTGTGCCTGATTCCGTGTGAAAGACGCATCTGCCCATCACCGCGATGGTCCCACCTGCAGGCTGTTTTCCACACCAGTAAAAGCACAAGCAGCAAGACAGCCACTGGTTCAAGTTTCCCCAAGGACTAAAGTCACATGGCTCAGTCTTCCGATTGCTTAGCTCCTTTTCTGGCTAATCTATCAGCTTCTTCATTGCCTATAAATCCCGAATGACCAGGAACGTGCATCTGTTAAGATAAATGTTTTCCTTTTATTTTTACTCATCTTTACATAAGCGACACATGACTATATTCTCACCATAAAAAAACATTCAGAACAGACTGCATAGCGTAAGCTCAACTTCGACGCTCCTCTCCCCAAACGTGATCCTCAGCAGCACGCTGTTGATTCTTCATGCGTTTATGCAACGGATGTATTTACAAACATTCCATTTTGTTTTTCTACAAATTGGATTTTACCGTTCATATTGCTATTTCCTCCCCCACTTATCAATGGGACTTGATAAGCTTTCCAGGCAAAACACATGTATGTACAGATGGGTGGACGGATATGTATGCAACACACACACACACGCTTCCCTTGCAGTGCTGTCAGAAAAACCAATGTACTTATTTAACTACTGTCTACATTTACGTTGCCAAAGCAAATTCACACATCAGGCTACCCAACTGTTATCAGTGGTTCCGGGAAGGCAGAACAAGGCAGGGTTGAGACAATGGTTGCAGTTTAATTTGTTCTGTATTGCTTAAAAAAAACTTTTTAATAAACACGATCTATAATTTTAAAAAATGCTTCCATCTTGGAATAAAAGTTCTATCACCAAGGCTTTAATCACACAACCTTACTATTGTTTGAAACAAAATACACTGATAGTTTTATTTAACATTATGATGCATTCCGAAGAAACAAACAGGGTGACATACAGCTGTCGTTGTAATGTCATGTGCCCAGGTTACGTGTTAGTTTGTGTTCTTAACAAAATGTAAGTTTTGTAGAACATCCCTCAAACCACACTGCCTATGTATTCTATGCCTAGTGATACTCTCACTAAAATTGTATTACTTGTGGTTGCAGTGAGCTGAGATTGCGCCACTGCACTCCAGCCTGGGCAACAGTGCGAGACTCTGTCTCAAAACAATAAATAAAAGGTTGACATGATTATTTATTTAGTTGTAAACCTTTTTATCACAAAATAAAAATAATATAGGAAGTGACACAAAACAAACGTAATCCCAGTACTTTGAAAGGCCAAGACAGGTAGATCGTTTGAGGTTAAGAGTTCAAGACCAGCCTGGGTAACATGACAAAACCCCATCGCTACTAAAAATACAAACATTAGCCAGGTGTGTGGGCATATGCCTGTAATCCCAGACACTTGGGAGGCTGAGGCATGAGAATCACCTGGACCCAGAAGGCAGAGGTTGTAATGAGATCACGCCACAGCCTGGGGTGACAGAGTGAGACTCTGTCTCAAAAACCACACCAAACCAAACCAAAAAACCGTATTACTTGTATGATAAGGGAAAGAATCAAATGTGTATATGTGGGTGGGTTTGTTTTTCTGAGACAGGCTCTTGCTCTGTCGCCCAGGCTAGAGTGCAGCGGTACAATCTTGGCTCATTGCAACTTCGACCTCCCCAGCTCAAGTCATCCTCCCACCTCAGCATCCTGAGTAACTAGACTACAGGCATGCACCACTACACCTGGCTAATTTTTTATTTTTTCTAGAAACAGAGTCTTACTATGCTATCCAGGCTGGTCTTGAACTTCTGGGCTCAAGAAGTCAGCCCATTTCGGCCTCCTAAAGTGCTGGATTACAGGTGTGAACCATTGTGCCCAGCCTCAAATAGTTTTATTTTTTTGAGACAGAGTCTTGGAGTCTCATATCGTTGCTCAGTGCTGGAGTGCAGTGGCGCGATCTCGGCTCACTGCAATCTCGGCCTCCCGGGTTCAAGTGATTCTCCTGCCTCAGCCTCCTGAGTAGCTGGGACTACAGGCGCACACCACCATGCCTGGCTAGTTTTTGTATTTTTTAATAGAGATGGGGTTTTACCATACTGGCCAGGCTGGTCTTGAACTCCTGACCTCGTGATCCACCCACCTCAGCCTCCCAAAGTGCTGGGATTACAGGCATGAGAAACTGTGCCCGGCCTCAAATATGTTTTAATATACATTATGATATTAATTGCATGGAAATTGTTATGTCATGAAACCACTTACATAAACCACTAATCTCTAGTAAACTTAGCTTATTTGGTCATAATAGCCGTAAGACATGAACATTTAAGATACTCACCCACTGAATGTCCATCCCCTGGGTGAGCCTCTCCAGTGCCACGAAGTCCTCTTTGTTGATCACCTCTTTCCCTGCACTTGTCTTCCACCCATTTTCCTTCCAACTTTGAACCCAGTTAGTTATACCTACCAAAATGCATGATCACTGGTGAGTCAATCTTGAGTGTCCTGCCTTTTTCACCTCCTTAGTCTTACCTCTTATAATTCATCCCACTTGTATTCTGAGTCACCATCCTTGACTCTTCACTTCCTTAGCTGGCCTCAGTGCTTTAGCTTTTGGCACAGCCTGAAATACCCACTTCTCTTCCCCTTCCCCTAACTTGTATTCTACCTACAGCTGTCAGCTTAAGATGTTATTTTTCCCAGGAGCCTTCCCCAGTCTCATAAGCATCCCCTACATGCTCTTATTCAGGGCATTTCCCAAAGAAGCAGTCAACACGCCATCTTAAGTGACTTATACACACACAGACTAGAAGTAACACTAGAGCAGAGCCACTTCCACTTCTGACTGCATCTCCAGTGCCTGGCAAAGAAATAAGCATGTGGAAAACATCAGAGCAGCAGAAGGCAGACTCCAAAATCCTCACTCTTTGCTTGATACCTGACACACCAATGTCATCCCCCTCAACGCTCCCATTTGGGTCCTGCCCTGTTACAACACCTCCTACCAATTTCCCTTCATAGTTACTGGAAAAACAGAAGAAATCAAACGTGAAAGCTTACCGTTTATAGTAAACATACTGTCTGTATACAGAACCAGTTTACTGATGTTTTGAGTCTTTGCTTGTTCAATGGCTTTGCAGGCTGCCTTGAAAAGACAAGTCGATAGTCATGCTACAGAAAATGTTCAACTTTGACATTACTGAAGTTCAAAAGTACTTCAAAATTGAAACATCCCCTCTGTACTGTGATGATCGTATTCTCTGTATGAAACACTACTATACATACAATTCTCCTGTGCAGACATCTATCTGAAATAAGTTTTCACAATTTTTCTACAAAATTCCTATTTTTCAAAATTGCTATTAAACCAACATCTCTTCTTCAAATATCTTGTATATATACATAGAAAAAAAAGAATTAGTTTATAAGTTCATACTCAATGCTCAAAAATGAGAGGCTTAAATGTATCTGATAACTTACATGAATTTCTGCTCTTTGGTTTGTCTGTCGCCCAGGAAGTCTAATGCCTACATTTCTGTTTCAAAACAGTACAAAAGAAAATAAAATTATAAAGTGAATTCTCAAAGTGATTTTTCTTAATGGATAACAAACTAGTGTGTATACTTATTTGAAATATAAAAGTATCATATAAAAATCAAACTAACAGAGAGACTCCCAGAAGCAGACAGGAGCAAACAGGTTTCCACACTCGGGCACGTTCTGACTCTCGTGGGTTCCACTAGGGCAGAGGAAGTAAGAGCTAGTTCTCTGCGGACCCTGGGTTAGGCCCTATGGCTGCGGCGGGAAGAACCCCAGGAGAAAACTCAGGAAGAAGAATGGAGAGTGAGGTTTCAGACTGAAATTACTAAAAACCTCCAGGGAGTAAAACAGGAAAATGAAATCAAGGAACCAGAAAAAACCCTCAGACAAGTTATTTAAAATTTGGGGTCACCAGGAGATCCAATGTTTCCTAAAAGAATGAGCGATTTTTGGGCCAGGCGTGGTGGCTCACACCTGTAATCCCAGCACTTTGGGAGGACAAGGTGGGAGGATCGTGTGAGCCCACAAATTTGAGAACAGCCTGGACAACATAGTGAGACCTCATCTCTACTTAAAAAAAAAAAAAAAATTAGCTGGGCATGGTGGTGTGGACCTATAGTCCCAGTCACTCGGGAGGCTGAGGCAGGAGGATTACTTGAGCCTGGGAGTTTGAGGCTGCAGTGAGCTATGATCATGCTACTGCACTCCAGCCCGGGCAACAGAGTGACACCGTCTCATTAATAAATAATAAGCAAACAAAAAAGAATGGGCATTTTTTGAATGCAAAGAGTTGAGGCAGAAGAATAATAAATGGTGTAAAGCAGGGGTCCCCAACCCCTAGGCCATGTACTGGCACCAGTCTGTGGCCTAAGAACCAGACTGCACAGCAGGAGAGAGGTGGGCAAGCCAGCAAAGCTTCATCAATGTTTACAGCCACTCCCCATCACTCACATTACCACTTGACCTCAGCCTCCTGTCAGATGGGCAGTGGCACTAGATGTGCACAGAAGCATGAACCCTACCTTGAACTGTGCACCCAAGGGATCTGGGTTACGCAGTCCTTATGAAAATCTACTGCCTGATCATCTATCACTGTCCCATCACCCCAGATGGGACCGTCTAACTGCAGGGAAACAAGCTCAGGGCTCCTAGTGATTCTAGGAGCAAGTTGTAAAATTATTTCATTACACATTACAAGGTAATAATAATAAAGTACACAATAAACGTTAAATATGCTTGAATCATCCCAAAACCATCCTTCCGCCCCATGCCCTGTGGAAAAATCGTCTTCCACAAAACTGACCCCTGGTGCCAAAAAGGTTGGAGATTGCTGGTCTAAATCAAGTGCCCAGCATCTCAAACACAGGCACAGAAAGAAGAGCTGGTAACAATGCCCCCAGACGGGAAGTCTGAAGGATTCCTACTGAACTGCCCACGAGGCCAATCTGAGGCCCAGGAGCCTCCATGGCCCCGTGCTTCCAAAGAGGCCACACACACGATTCTGGATACAAACAAACAGACAATGTCTGTCCTTCCAGCTTCTGCGAACCAGCCCCAGGTCTGTGCCATCCCATTTGCTTTGAGGCGCAGCTCCCAGCCCAGCCATGATCTCCATGGAGGATCCTCAGGTATCCAGATGGGACCCCTGGAACATGAACCCTCTGTGGTCAGCTCTAGGTATGTTTCCTGCCATACTCCCAGTAGCCCCCAGCAGAAACAGAAGCAGCTGATGTCTTCTGACTCTGATCCAAACCCTCAACTTACAGACAATTAGAACCTAGATCTTGATTCTGTATGAAAGACAACAGAATAGCAATTGTATACACTGCGGTACAACCCCATCCTCTCCCAGCCCAGTGTGATGAGAGTAAAATATGAAATCGATGAGGGGAAAAAAAAAATCAAACCCACAATATTAAGACTTTGTTGAAAAACACCATGGTATGGTATCATAGAAGGAACACTGGACCAGAAGTCAGAAGTCAGAAGTCAGGAGCGAAGTTGAATTTCTGGACCTGAGAGGCATTAGCATGTATCTTGGGCAAGCGCTAAGCCCACGGATACTCAGTGCGACCCACGCTTGCCTCCTCTTCCAGGGTTCCAAGCTAAAATGAAATGGTAACGTGAAAGAAAGTAAAAGAACTTTGTAAACTGTACAGTGCAGCAGAAATGTAAAGTGGTATTATTATGGAACAATTACATCAAATCTGCCTCACAGCGTTCGTGGGCACAGGTAAATACTGGAGAATGCAGGTCGGCATCGGTGCATGGTGATTTTGCAGGGCTGAAATTCCTCCTCTACACTGAATCTTAGGGCTACCCACTACAGTTCAAGTTCATTCACATCCAGGGGCTAGGTGTGTTTGGATAATCGCACTTCACTTCACCCTGTGTGCCTTCTGAAACACAAAGCATCCCCTCGGAGACAGTCTGGTGATGTGACGGCTTCCAAGTCCGCAGACTGCCCCTGCCCCCTTGTGCATGCCTCCCAAGACCATCTCCCAGTGTGCCACGTGACTGCAGAGTCAAGAGGAAGTGAGGTCACATCAGCAAGACTAAGCTACTAAAAAGCTCCAAGAAGTAAAGGAGGAAATGAAATTAAGGAACCAAAAAATCCTCAGACAAGTTATTTAAAATGGGGGTCACCAGGAGATCCAGTTTCTTAAAAGAAAGAGCAATTTTTGGGCCGGGGTGGTGGCTCACACCTGTGATCTCGGTGCTTTGGGAGGACAAGGTGGGAGGATCGCGTGAGCCCAGAAATGTGAGCCCAGCCTGGGCTACATAGTGAGACCTAATCTCTACTAAAAAAAAGACTCCTCCTGGGAGGCTGAGGTGGGCGGATCACTAGGTCAGAAGATCAAGACCATCCTGGCTAACATGGTGAAACTCCGTCTCTACTAAAAATACAAAAAATTCGCCGGGTGCGGTGGCAGGTGCCTGTAGTCCCAGCTACTCAGGAGGCTGAGGCAGGAGAACGGCGTGAACCTGAGCAGCAGAGCTTGTAGTGAGCCAAGATCGTGCCACTGCACTCTAGCCTGGGTGACAGAGTGAGACTCCATCTCAAAAAAAAAATAGACTCCTCCACAGGGCAAGAAAGAAATGCCAAAGCCAGGTGTGGTGGCTCACGCCCGTAATCCCAACACTCCGAGAGGCCAAGGTGGGAGGATTACTTGAGCCCAGAAGGTTGAGGCTGCAGTGAGCTGTGTTTGTGCCACTGTGCTCCATCCTGGGCAACAGAGTGAGACCCTGTCTTAAAAAAAAAAAAGCAAAGGAAGTAAAGCTGAGGTACCTGACATTCTGAAAAGCAATGCCGCTTAGCCCTGACACGAACCAAAGCTGCTCCTCTGCTACCCGCTGCCAGAGCTATTCATCTGCAGGTTTTCCCAATAATCAAATAATAAGCAGATCCCGCCTCATCTTTTCACAAGTTGTGGAACATGATTCAGTAAAACTCTGCTTGCTTTGTTTACTTACAAAGGATGGCCCGGCCCCCAGTAAACACCGATTCCCGCTCGTGGCCTTCTACGCCCATTACTGGAGCAGCAGCCATCAGTGTAGACGACAACAAAGTCTCCTGTGGGAAAAGGGAAGTAAATACTGCTGGGCTGACCTTACTGAAAACTGAAATTCACCTCAAAAATCCTCTAGGTCGAGTTAGCATTTTAACCCGAGGGCATTTTACAGCGCTGCAGACGTTTCCTCTCTGGGTAAACGTGCTCAATTCCTTACGAGGGGGCACCTACCATCTATGCTAGGAATCCGCTTACATTTTGATCTGGTAGGCCAGGCAGGTTCAGGACGAAGGCAGTCACTTTGTCAAACTAGGGCCTGCTGCAAAGAACTACTGTTCACACCCCACACTGAGGGTTCAAAGGACAATGACTCTGTCTCCATGGCAGGGTCACCTTCACTCCCAGGGAGCATCCTCCCAGAGACAAGCAGTGCCTCAGCGTGACGGTGACCCTGCCTGCCAGAGGGCCCAGTCTCCTGACCAGGGCTGGTCCAATTTCTTCCCTGGTATATTTGCCGCTAGTTAAATATGGTTCCTGTCTTTGCTTCTTTCCCTCTTGATAGAGGGTGTGATTGACACACCAATGCTGTAAAGAACAAGGTAAAAAAGGACGGATGGGGGCACTCTCAGACCACTGGTGACCAGGACACTTCAGCAGTGTGGTGGGAGCAGAGGTCAGGTTGCAAAGTGTTAAAAGAGCTGGGCGAGAGGGCAAATAGAGGTGACATGCGCAGGAAGTGGAAGTACGTGTCCGAAGGACGGCAAACTGAGCTCAGCGGTGGCGAAGGGGCAGGGATGGGGACGTGCTCCTCACAGGAGCGGGGCTGAGAGCCAAGGGGAGTGTGGGTGTCGGACACGGCTCCTCAGTTCAGCTGGAACTTGACTGTATGAGCACGACTACAAACTTGCCGCCCAGCGACTGAACTGTCTCAGGAGCCAGCACCTGCCACCCGCCATGTTCCAGGCCACTGAGCCTCCAGCAATGGTCAGTGCCTGGAAATGGCTCATCTCCCTGCGACTCCACAAATCTTTGCTTCAATTCCTACTAGTAAATCACCAAATAAAGAATACTTGTTTGATCTTTTTTTACATAACTGCAAAACGTATCTATAAATAATACAGCTTGGCAAAACATTTTCTACTGGTTTCCCTTGAATTAAATTAGAACCTATAAATATACTGATTTATATTTTTTAATGCTACTTATTTCTATTTTCTGCTCATATGTGTAAAAGACACAAAGGAGACTTCTATTCTGTGAGTCACTAAATACATACAACTGATTCCTGGAGTGAAAGGTAGCAGAAAAGTTCACTACTACTTTGCTTCTCAGGATAAAATAGAATCTCCTGTTTTTCAAAGATTGGGTATGAAAGGTTAAAATGCTGGTGCTAATCAATCATAACAAGCAGCGGCGTGTGGGGTGTTTCCTATTTGAAAAAGCTGGAGTCTTCATATTTTATCTTAATAACGTTAAGTACTGCATGCACAGGGAGCACTGGTATTTCAGAAGATTACGGTTGTTCATTTACACGTAAGGGTTCTCCTAAGAACATTCAAAAGTTTAATTCTGCACCACTTGATCAATTACAAAATAATGGCCTTAGTGATTTCTAAATAATCTTTACACATAAGAATGAAGATAATAAACATCAGCTCAAACTCTCCCCATTAAGTGGGAAACACCTTTTACACATAACATGCTCATGATGGTTCTATTAAAATTTGAAAACCCAAGGAAGATGTACCCATGTAGGAAAACGTGTCTCTGCTAACTGGAGGCGCCGGCTCCATGCTCGGCTTCACGTGCTTTGCATAGGGCTCTGCGCTTTCATCTCCATCTCCATCCAGTGGCTCCCGGAGTCGCTTGCTGGCTTTCATCTGCGATTCTTGTCCATGTTGATTTTCCTGCCCTGAAAGACAGAGTCCACTAGTGAGCTGGAAACAATGAACATAACACGAAATGCTAGAGAATGAAGACATTCAGTCTTACGTTATTTAGTATCATTAAATCAGACTTAAAAACACCCTCTGTATGTGGTCCTACAACGAGGAAAACAAGGCAACGACCCCCCTCCACGCCGCCCCGACTCCCCTCCGCGCCGCCCCAACCCCCCCTCGCCGCCACCCCAACTCCCCCCCGCGCCGTCCCAACCCCCTCCACGCCATCTCAACCCCCTCCACCCTATCTCAACCCCCTCCACGCCATCTCAGACTTACAAGGGAATGACCCCATTCACACCATCTCAGACTTTGATACTCTGAGAAATAATTCTAAATTTTTCAAGATAAGTTTGGTAAAGACAATGAGAAGACAATAGCAAGGCTTCTGTTGAAAGTAAAATCTGGTTGGTTGGGTGCAGTGGCTCACACCTATAATCCAAGCACTTTGGGAGGCCCAGGTGGGCGGATCACCTGAGGCTGGGAGCTCCAGACCAGCCTGACCAACATGGAGAAACCCCATCTCTACTAAAAATACAAAATTAGGCAGGAGTGGTGGCGCATGCCTGTTAATTCCAGCTACTTGGGAGGCTGAGGCAGGAGAATTGCCTGAACCTGGGAGGTGGGGAGGTGGACGTTGCGGTGAGCCAAGATTGCGTCATTGCACTCCAGCCTGGACAACAAGGGTGATATTCCGTCTCAAAGAAAAAAAAATAAAAGAAAGTAAAGTGTGGTTTTGATGGAGATAATGACACCAAGAGTTCTTGACCCTTTAGAGATCATGGACAGTTTGAAATAAAAGGGGCTCTTTCTCCAGGAAAAACATGGTCCAAAATTGTGTATATAACATGAGCGGTGTTGCTGGGTGCAGTGGTGCATGCCTACAGTTCCAGCTACTTAGGAGGCTGATATATGAGTATCGCTTGAGCCCAGGAGTTTGAGTCCAATCTGGCCAACATAGTGAGACTCCTTTGCTTAAAAATAAATAAATCTAAAAAAAGATGAGTCATGGCCATGGTTCAGCCCTTCCCCGCCTCAAATACAACTACATGGACACTAAATTAAGAACCTCTAGGAGGGCTTAGAGGGTACAGGTTAGTTTAGTTTGAATAAACAGATAATGGAACATATTAAGAAAGGGAAACAGGCTGGGAGGCCGAGGCGGGCAGATCATTTGCGGTTAGGAGTTCAAGACCCGCCTGGTCAACATGGTAAAATCCCATCTCTACTAAAAATACAAAAATTAGCCAGG